CAAGTGCATTTTACCAACTAACACTCTGATTTAGGCATTCTTGAAGACAGTTAGAGTACTGAAGTGAAATGTATATATTTTAGTTTTAGAAGAGATTCATTTATTTACATGTATGCACCAAAACTGAACTTTCCACTTTCACTTCACTGTTTTCTTAGTTTAATTTCTAACTCTTTGGATTGAGTTTTAACACATCAGAGAGAAATGAGAGCCAAAGATGGCAGAAGAAGCATCTGCCCTGACTGGCAGATGGTGGTGGAGGTGGGTGAGGGATTCTCACCTGCCTTGCTGGATTGCTCTCGAGGGATTTTGAAAGCAGAATAAAAAATAAAAAAAACTAAGTCCAGTAATCTATGGTACGGACACTTTTCGGAAAACTTAAAAAGTAAACGTAAGGCATTTAAAGAACTTGCAACGTAAACGTTCATTGTACCAGATCATATCGAAATATTTTTACATTTCTGTGATTAAAGAAAAAAATAAATAAAAAGGAAAGTAGGATTAAAAATCTTGTGAGTGCAAACATACCACATGATGTCAAAGTTCATGCTCAATAATCCAAGTAAACAATCCAGCCTAGTTCAGTCAGGTCATCTGCATGTTTTTTTTGTTTGTTTGTTTGTTTTTTGAGACGTTCCGTCCTTCATCCAAAGGACTTCATCAGGAGTTTTGATCAGTTTTAAACCACTTTGGCTATGGCTGCCTCAGAGGAGTTGACGGGGAAGAGGGCGAGCCCCAGAAGCCACCTTATCACCAGCAAACTGGTTGGTTCACTATGTGAATGTGCTACTTGTGGGACGGAGTTTGTTTGTGGCTCCTTGGACTGATGAAGTCCTTTGGATGAAGGACAAAATGTCTCAACAACAACAAAAAAAAAAAACGTCCAGATGACTTATGTTGAATATTACATGATGCTTGATTCCTTGCACTATCCTAAAAAAGAAAAGAAGTACCGGTAGATAGATCAGTTCCGTTCGGTGACTTGTATTCCCACCCCTGCTCCTCCCAGAGCACCCACCAAGCTCCTATCTCCGTTCTCAAACTCCTGCCTATTGACAGTGCTCACTTGTGTATAAAGGTAATGAATTCATAATCTCTCCCGAGCTCTATGTAGATCTCTATCATGGTGGGAGATAAGGGTAAGCATCGTTGCACTCTAATAGCCGTCAGTCTGTCTCTGTTCCGGCATGCTGTGTTTATGTGTGTCTAGGAACCCACCCATTGCTACAAAAACCAGCAGGGCTCTTCATTTCAGCTTCCAGGTAGAAAGAAAAAGATTTTTGCTCAGAGTGCCATTGCTTGTCAATAAACTGTTGAAGCAAAAAAAAAAAAGTGGTTTCTCAGAATTTAACATCCAGAAATGTCTCACTTGTTTCTACTTGTGTCTTGTGCAAACACAACAAGCACTAACTAACCCTCCCTACATTTTCTGACAAATACTCAGGCACAGAAAAAAGTAAATATGAGAGAGGGTGAGGTGTTCTCAGAGTAACTAAAGTAAGCTTGCAGCATGGAGCAGCTCTCAAGAGGTGACCAGCACGTGCATGTGTTTTTAATTGTTTTCAGTAGGGTGATGAAAAGTCCTCCATCGGAGCACAAGCTGGCAGTAAGTGGGCCGTCCCCTCCAGGGACTCAGTGAGCAATGACCCACTGCTATCGGAGGCGATTGTCTGAACCCTAAGAGTGACAAAGATGTACACAAAGGGAGCAGGAGACAATGCAAACAGAAGCAATCTCCTTAATTTAATCTTGAATGGGTTCAAAAAAGCAGGTTGAGGGCCAGAAAGAGAGGAAAGTTTGCATTAATATTTGGAAGAACTAAACATTAAATGCTGCTTTTGTAAATATATGTATGTAAATATAAGATATACTTCTGTCAGATGTCTTTATGGCTTTTGATTATACCAGGTTGAAACAAAAAAGGATCAATGGTTTGGTACGATGGTTCCCAAAGTTAGGGCCAAGACCTCCACGGTGGGTCATAAAGCATCAAGTTAGAGGACTTGAAATGATTTCTAGAAATAAAGTAAAATTTGGAGTTGATTGCAAGTAGCTTGTTTTTGCTGATTGTTATAATAAAATATAAAAACTGAAATTATTAAGAAGTGAAAGTTTTGAATCAGTTGATGCTGTTTCGCTGTTTAAGGCATGTTTAATTGACTTACAGGGAACATCTGTGCCTTTTCAACAGCAATTTTTGGGGTTGTGAGATCCTGTCACTGGCATTTCTTAGGTCAGAAGATTAAACATTTGGGAACCACAGGCCTGCAGTGGCCGTTAAAGGGATTGGTGAGAACTTTTGAAATATTCTGAGTTTGCCCAAGTGGGGAAAATACCAAAAGTGAAACAACTCCTTCCTGTCTCAATTATTTTCAGGGTAACCAAACAGTGTAAAAAGTGGCATCTGCAGTTAACTGTTACACTTCCAGTGCAGCCTTAAACACTTCTGGCAGGATTATTTAAACATTTCTGCAATAAACATGTATGGCAATATCTGCGGTGATGTAAAGGTTTACAGAACAGCGTTTGCATGATTCAAGAGGAACTTCTTGAGATCAGAGATGTCTTGGAGGAGGTAACAATTCACTTTAGTCTTGGCCCAGTTTAGACTTGTTGTGAGCTCCTCAGTTCAATCAAGCATAAACTCCATTTCTACAACACTAGGTCATTCAAAGAGTTATCTGCAACAGGTAAGATATTATCTGCTCATAACATTTCCAGAAATGCTGCTTGTAAAAATCTAAACTGTTCCTTACAAGCAGCATTTTTTGGAAACATTATGAGCAGAAAATATCTTACCTGTTTTAGATGACTCTGAAAAGGCTTTAAATATGTCCAAATGATGTTGGTATTATAATCCATTCAGTTTTATATGAAAGCTGTCTCACAAGCTAACAGACTTTAAAACGTCATATTTGTATATTACACATTGTATCTCTAACAGTTTGTTAAAAGTTGCTTTTCCATCAAATCCCTTTCCCGACTGCATTAGACAACAATAAGCAAATGCCATCATGAGGCTTACCTTCACTTGCAGAGCACATAAAGAAGATCATTGTTTGAGCAAAGTTCGCATGTTGCTTGCGGTATCTTAACATTCCATGTCCTGTTACAACGTTCAGTAACAAGACGTGAACGATTAAACGCTCTCCCTGGAGCTCTCGCCACATCTTCCGCTTGCTGAATTTACATGACATTTATGAACACTCGCAAAGAAAACAAAAAGTGGACAGGGAGAGCAAGAGGAGAAAACTCCAGGAGTGGAGGAGTCTCATTATTCTGTTATGGATTGCACATGTCAGCGTGTAAGTGCTCTTTTTATCCCTCCAAAGCACCGGCCTCGGCCACCGACAGCATTTCCCTACGCAAGTGAAATTTACCATGTTAAGGCTCATGCCACCTGGGGAATGGTGGTGAGAGCACTGGGCTGCTTCTAAGATTTACTGCCTTGATTAAATAAGGGACTGCAGTGTGAACAAGAAGCCAAGGGAGACATCCATGCAACATAAACTTGTGTTTTTTAACACACTAGTTAATTGGTTACACTCGCAAGCTATCACTCGCATCTTTTACGTCTCTTTGTTGTTCTGACTGTCACACTGGATTTTGAGCAAAGAGCAGAAAGGGGGCAGTGGAGGCTTACTTTGTGACTCAGGCAGGCTTCCTGCCAAACACCCAGCAAGATGGGTCTTTTTTCAACAGGGCTTGTTCCCATTCATTACTGCCTGCAGAACTTGAAAAGTTCACACAAAATGTATTGCCGCTCTCTCTCCGTTTGGGCTGGACGTGCCTTTCATTCGATGCAGTGTGATTTAAAAACTGTAGCACCCTCCAAAGATTGCTTAATTCCATCTCATTTTCTTCAGGTTTCCATCAAATGCTTTGGTCTTTACTGCTTTGAAAAGGTGCCAGCTCCCATCATTTTTCAGCTGAACGGTTGTAAGTGGGCAAAAGGGACAAGTTATGTTTCTGCTCTGCGGCCACCGTGTAAATCCCCCAAAAAGTCTGTCACTTTGAAATCTTCCGACCAAGGATGTAGTTTGAACTAACCTGTGATTTAACACAAAAGAGACTGACCTCAGTTAGCTGTCGTGACATTTCGCTGCATGCTGACCGGTCTAACTGACTCTGGGTCAGGTGATTGATGTGTCTCTGGTGTTTGTCCAGCTTCCCTGCTGGACTCTGTGAGCACCAGCTGCTTTCGCCATTAACATTCAAATCCTGCCAGCCATTTATAAAAGGTCTTTCAGGCGAAGTCTTCTGTGATTGGCTGGAATTGTGTTTGGAAACACTTTCAAAGTAAAGTTTAAAAGTGATGAGGAAAAAAAAAAACTACTAAAAAATAACACACACTCTCTAATTTATGTATTAGTTTAGCAATACAAAAAACAACATTTAGTTAGTTAGATCAGACAATACACAACACTGAAAATACATACATACATACATACATACATACATACATACATACATACATACATACATACATACATACATACATACATACATACATACATACATACATACATAAAGTAACTTTCAGTTTTTAAGACAGAGAGTACTTTTGTACATAACATATTTGTTTAAACACAATTGTTGCTGGATCTGTGCCCACAAGTTGTACAATTGTTTTCTTTCCACAATAAAAGCACACAGTCTAAAAAAACAACAATACAGTAAAATATTCCTATAGTTGGTCCTATCTTTGCAGTGCCTTCCTGTGTTGTTGTAGTTTTATATCCTCATATTAAAGCACAAATTTAAAAATAAATGTACTCAAAAACAGAAAAAAGAATACACATTGGCCACTTTTTATTTTTTTTTTATTAAGACTTCTGATTTACATGAATGCACCACGTGGTCCGATACATGCGGAGAAGTCAAGAAGCGGAGTCTCTGAGGCGTCATTGAACGCAACACACTCGTAGACTTCTTGTGCGTGTTTTTTTTTTTTTTTTTCTCTCTCTCTCTCTCCTGCGTTTAAATGAAGAGGAGGGAGGAAGGAGGGGGGTGTTTGACTCCTGTCTCCCCACCCCCAGCTCGTACGAGGCGGATTTGGGAAGAAAGAAATCCAAACCTGCGACGCTGAGATAACGTGAGATCCACATTTGGAGACGCGCGCGCGGATTATTATTAAAGGATGTTATTTTTTTTTTCTTTTTCTTTTTCTGAAGAGATTCTGACTCGGAGCGTCTGATCTCCGTGAAAGGAAAGGAATACAAACAGCACGGAGAATAGCAGAAGTATTTTTAACTTGCTCCCATCGTTAACAAGTGACTCTGTGGCGCACAGGAACGTGGAATATAGCGGCTTTTTTTTTTTTCTCCAAACGGGGATGGAGCGTTACTTTTTCTCTCTGAGGGATCTGAAGTGAGCAGCCACACAGAATACGGGCTTTAGAAACCGTTCTCTGTTAACCAACCGGGGGGTAGTGGCAGAAATACTTTTCTCACGGAGCTGAGTAAGTGATGGCAACTTTTCTTTTTCTCTCTCCTCCAGTCTGCAGCTGCAAAAAGACTAAACGAAATATCCATATGCTAAGAGTGGCTGGTTTACTTGATTAAAAGTGTGATCAGTTTCAGGCAGCTCTGAGTTTTATGTGGAAACCTTGTTGCGTTTTTTTATTTATTTTTTTATTTTGCCCATTGACTTATGCATTTGAAAAAAAAAATATCCCAATGATTCAGTCTTTTTTGCACACATACTGTTGTTTTCAAGCTAATTAAAGTTTCAGACCGTTAAAAACTAACATTTAATTCATTTTTAAGGACTATTTAAACCAAAAACTCAATATTTTACACTTCAAACTAAAATGGTTATCCATTTTTAGTGACTGTTTGCTTTTTATTTGTGTTTGTGATGCATGTAAAGGGTAAACACACATGGCAAGCTTAAGCTTTTTTATATGCTCTGAAAAAAAGTCCAACTCCAATAATTGATGTTTTGCACTTAAACTGTTTATGTTGTTGTGGTATTTACTGCAAGTGATTTATTCTGTTGTAAGATAAGCAACAAGTAGCTTCTTTTTTTTTTTTCTCCAGTAGTTTAAATAATTATTTTGTTGCTTTTAGCCTTTCTCCTCTGTTTACTTGAGGTTAATCCTCTGCCTTGAGGAGAAACTTTTGTCCTGTTGTAGTTACAGAAACATTTAAAGCTCTAGGCTAAGATTTGTTCTTTTACGTTTTAAGGCACTAGTTGAAAACGTTATGATCTTTTTTGTACAACATTTAGAAAAAAACATTTAGGGTGCATTCACACCAGCCCTGTTTAGTCCGCTTTAATCAGGTCTCTCTTGTAAATGAGTCCTCAAGGCTCAATGGGATTTACCTGTCTAAATAAAGGTTGATTGATAATTGAACTCTAGCTCGTTCTCCTAGAAAGTCCGGTTTGTTTAGGGAGGTGTGAACGCGCCATCGAACTCAGTCACGGAACAAAAAGGCGAACTCTGGCCCGGGCTAAAACCTAGGTCTCGGTCCGGTAGAAGAGAACTCCAGCGCAGTTCGAGTGCAGTGTGAATGTAAACAGACCAGACCCGCTCCGCAGGGTAAACAAACACGCATTTCTCTGACCTTATATGGAGCCGTCAGCTGCCTTGTGTGAAAAACAATATTCTCCATGGTCTTCTGTCTCATCTTCTGCTCATGCTAAGTCCATTTTTTAAAAATGACAAAATCTAACTCCTAAAACTGCTATAACTTGATGCCACTTCGTTTTTGTTTTTATTTACAAAAGAAGAAGAAGAAGTGTCTTGAGAGGTTTTTGTGTCGTTTCTTTCAGTAGTTCTTGGTGCAGCGCCCCCACAGGCGAGCGGGGGAACAGGTTGGTTCAACAGGTTGACTCGACTGCACAGTGCAGTGTGAATGCAAACGCACCAGCTCAAATGTAAACAAAAGGTCATGAATATTGGTCCCGCACCGAGTCTACCGGACTATCTGGTGTGAAAACGACCTTAAGGAATAAACCTTCTCCAATACATCAAACAATATATTCAGCTCTTTTTCTGCAAACAACAGATTCTAACAAATCCTGTGCATTTCCATCTGTAATCAAAGATCAGGTTTTTTGTATACTTTGTCTGGCTCATCAGTCTTGCTATGCTGTATTCAATCAGCCTGCTACCTCATATAAATAAACCCATTTGTCTTTTGATGAGAGTCACATGCTGATTGTCAGTAGCACGAAGAAGTCTTGTCCTTCAGAGTAATTGGACAACACCTAAACCAGGAGGCTGCACGTCAAGCGCCACTCTGGATTCTTAATGCAGGTTTAATTGAACAATTCATCACCACTGATCACTGTCAAATAACTGAGGAAGACGGACAAAAAGGCGATGGAAATGCCAGGGATACGCTGCCAAGCACAGGCAGCTGAGTGTGACCAGCATGTCTGTCACACCGACGTTAGGATTTATCTTTTTACAGAAATCACAGGTTGATGCATGTCTTAAGAAACCTACAAGGCGTGTGTTTTTACCATGAAGTGCTTTGTTCACTCTTTATCAGTTTAGACTGTTGTCCATGAATAGGTTTATTTCTCTTGATGTGCTTAAAAAGGCCTCCATTGTTCAAGTTTTTCTATTTGATGCATAGAAACCAACGAGCAGCAAAAGGCTTTCATGTTTCAGCAAAGCAGATGACACAAAACTCCATTCATAAAGCCTCAAATTCTATATTTTATTTCATAGTGTTGTCTAATCAAATGTTTTTTGAAATGTTCAACAGACATAATGACACCAAAACAATAATCAACATATAATTTTTCTTTGTTCAAGGCTTTTATGTTCATTTTTACTACCTCGTGCCCCGTTTGTTTTACTCTGTGTCCAATTACCAGCATTTTTGTGGCATCAAGTACTTTGCAATTAGCCACATTGTACTTGACACAGCAACACAGTTAATAATAGCTGTGCTGAAGTGACTGTCATGGTAAAGGGAAAAAGGGAAAAGTGTGCTATGCTAAGGTGCTTTTGCACTCACTGCTAATTGTGTTTATTCGTTTTAATTTGCTCCGAGTGCTAAATTGGTGCTCTTCTGGTGAAACAAGGTGCAATTAGCTTGGCTGTGAAAACTGGAGGAAGTATGTCTTGTAAAATGTTCCCTCCTCTCCTTTTTGATTTGTGGATTACTGGTTTGTTGATGTTCCCTTTTCTATTTCTTGCCACATAATGCAGGGTCTACCGGTCTCAACGCATGGACCTATACATAACTGTGGGTGAACTCATTTGAAGAATATGTGGTTTTTAGTGGTCAGAAAAGATATTTAGCATCGCTGTTAAAAAAAAAAAAAAAAGTATTGTAAATTTTCTGTAATACCTGGTTCTACCAAAGGTGGCACTGATATTTGTTTAATAAGAGAAAAAATAAAATAAATCACAGCAATGTCTGCTCACAATGTACATTTTATAAATAAAACCCAACTCATTGCATTTCAAGTTGAGTTCAGTCACATGGAGGCGTTAAACTTGTGTCTTGTACTAATGCTAAACTAGTACAACTTTTCCATCTCTTTATCACAGCTCAGAAGAAAAAGATGAAGGTGCTGAAGTGCATTAGTGGCCATTCTGAAAAATCAGTCATTAGTGGTGCACCGATTGCAGTTTTTTGGCCTATCACCATTTCTAAAAAGCCTGACCTGCCGATTCCGATTTTGGCCAATACCAGTTTTATTTTATAAATGACACTGTCAGGTTTTATAAGTTCACAGTGCACCTTCAATTTTCCAATATTATTTTATTGAAAAACATACCCTTGAAGTGTCACGAACCTCAATGTTGGAACCCAATTGCAGAGAGATGAGTGAGGCAGGAGTTCAAAAAACCAAAACAATTTATTTTTTAAACAACAAAACAAAAGGCTGTCGGTGCAGCAAAACTTACTTTTGGCAGATTGGATTAGAAATAATGCAGAGCAGATCATCAGGGGGGCAGAAACCAGGCAAGGCAGAAGAGGATTGTGAAGTCTGAGAACATAGAACAATCACCGGACAAGGAGTGAAGGAAAGAAAGGCTTTTTATGTGACAGAGGGAGAGTTAGTAATGAGAGCACCTGGGCAAGTGGCTGATGAGGGACAGGTGTGAATGATAAAGACTGAGTGGAGAAGCAGACTGAGGAATGAGAGGAACATAACAGAAACAGATAAACAGAAAATCACACACAAAGCAGAACAATAAAAAATATAAAAAGCAGACAGAGACAGAAACTTGAAATAGAAGGAAATGATTAAGACTGTGGGATGATAGTTTGAAGATATAAATGTTGGTTTCTGGTTGCAGCTTGAAGGAGGTGGCAGAGGCTTGGCAGATGGGGGGGCAGCGGGGGCCGCTGACCGTGACATGAAGAATATCCTAGAAACAATACAAACTTGTTTTAACTGGCCATGAGGTAGTGCTTTGAAATATAAATGAAGTTCAGACAATTGTTGTTAAAAAAAAATGCTAAAATTGGTTTTGCATGCAAGTATCAGCTGATTTCTGATTTTTCAAAATTTAGGAAATTGGGGCCGATAAATTGGCTGGCCGATTTATCGGTGCAACCCTAGTAATTTTTTTTTAAACTGGTAAAGTTGTGATGATGATTTTTGTTTGGTTTAACTAGATATAAGTAGGACTGGCATTGATAAATAAAAATTAACAAATTTCTGATACAATTCCTATATTCAAAGCAAACAAGACTTTTCTAATATGAATCAATGTTCAGAACTGGTCCACCAGAAACACTTTATCTTTCACCTCAAGCAATTCAAATCCTGTATACTGACAAATCAAGTGAGTCTTACGTCAAAGATTTTACCTAATGGAAGTTTAGCATCGGGCAGCTATTTACACAAAATGTTAGCATTGCAACCATAAATCACACATATTTAGTAGTTTGATGGGAACCTAGAAGATGAAGCCAGAATGAAACCAACCTTTCCCTTCAGCTGATTTCAGTACAAGTTCAAGTCCCCTTTTCTCCATGTAAAGGTCTATTGCCCACAGTACAATGAAAAAATACACATCAGATAATGTTTCTAGTGTTTAATCTTAGTGATTTATATTTTATATTGCTGTTGTATGTTCAGATATACATTTTATAACATGTTTAGCTGTAATTCATGCTTACAAGAAATATCCTATAACACAATGGTTGTGTGCATGACAGTAGGTAGCACTTAAATCCCAATAATGCTAGATTGCACAAACTCTGGTTCCAAAAATACAACATGGCAACACCTATAAACAGGGTCTTCCTGGCTTCAATTCCCAACAGTGAGAGAAAAGACTATAATATGCAGTCTATGGTTGCAACACAGACCACAAGGGTGCAATCTGTGTCTGATGCACAGCTAATGCTTTGTTTGGAACAAACATATAATGTTTACTCAAACCACTATAAAAGGTCTGAGCTTAAAAAAGAAAGCTAAATGCACTTTTCTGGTGGCTGAGGTTGTGAACAGTAGTTGTTTTTTCAATCAAGAATCTAC